ACTTAAAAAGCTTTAAAAACTTCAATTAGAGGCTTCTCCAGATCTGGTGCAAGAAGACGCTACAGAAGATCCTTGCTGCCGACAGCTATCAGCATCCACAGCAACTCACTGAAGAAAAGGCAGGTGTGTTACTTTATTGTTTACTTCGCCTTTGAGATTGATAAAGTATTTCTGAACTGAATCAAATTTAATAACAGTTGTCTCAATTAGGTCCTCCCTCAGATTCCCTGCTGCTCCTCACAATCCTACCATATCTCATGTGAATTTCTTTTCATTCTCTATTCTTCCCTATAGTGCTAATTTCTTCTTTTTTTGCTGGATTGTTCTGTGAGATTGTCAGAAGCACCATTTTTTTTAATTTGCTTGATTTCCTGTTCCATGACCAGCTCTCCATGCAATTTCCCTTTCAAGTTCCCTTTTATTTGATCACAGTGACTCCATCCATCTGGGTCGAACTAAACCTACAATCATGTGATTAAATCTAGCTGCTGTCACCATCTTTATATTGCTCTCCCTTGTTCCGACTGTGCTTTGCTAAAAGTTGCCATGCACAGACAGAATAGTCTAGTGCATTGATCCACAAACCTGTTTGATCTGGTAATAAATTATACATTACAGCTGGGGTAGGTATTTGAATTCTCACTCAACTTAAATTAGTTTAAAAATGGAGAGTGTTACTAGTTATTTATTTGAATAAAGTAAAAATAACCATATGGGATTTGTGTTATATAGTGTACCTAAAGCACTGCTTTTTTAAATATGTTATGAACCCAAATTAAACTGCTGCTCAGTGGAACAGTGGGTAGCACTGCTGCCTTGCAGCCAGAAGGTTCCTAGTTTGATTCTCAACCTGGGGTCTTTCTGCATGGAGTTTGCATCTTCTCCCTGCGCATGCGTGGGTTCTCTCTGGGTACTCTGGCTTCCTCCAACAGTCCAAAACAAGACTTTTAGGTTAATTGGCTTCTTTAAATTTTCCTTAGGCGTCAGTGTGTGCGTGAATGGTCGTTTGTCCGGTTTGTCTCTGTGTTGGCTTGAGATAGACTGGCGGCCTTTCCAGGGTGGACCCCACCTCTCGCCCATAGACAGCTGGAGATAGACACCAGAACCCCTCGCGACCCCATTAATTGTGTCAGAAAATGGATAGATGGATGAATCTTAAATATGAACTGTTTTCCACATGTTTACTTTCTAAATCTTGATTTTTAACAATTTATATTTTATTAAATTCAGACTGTAAGGAACAATTTTTTATAATTTAGAAACAAAGTCAATGCCCTAGGGCAGTGATTCCCAACTGGGGGTACTCGTACCCCTAGTGGTCTGCGAGTGCATTGCAATGGGTACATGAAGATATTTTATTTCTCAGGTAATAAAATTAAATAGGGTGGTGATCTGTTTTTCTTTGTGAGGATACACCTGAAAAAGAAAAACAAGTTTTTTTTAAACCAAAATGTAACTTATTCTTACATGTTTGAGTTCACCATTAGCTTTGACACACATCAAAACCAATCAAAGGAACAGACTGGATGTAGAGAACAGCCTGGAATCAGCTGTTTTCCCACACCTGAGCTCATCAAAGCAAGTTCAAGTGTCACGATAAATGATGAAAACAATGTAAAATAAATGGAGTCAGTCTGATTATAATTTTTGTTCCCTTTTCCTCAAGTTTAAATTTGATCATAGGAGACTTACTCAGAGGTGCTCCAGTTTTATAAAGGCAGATTTATAGTATGAATTCAATTTGAATTTATTTTGACTGCTTAATAGCTTCCAGGCAACATATTTATGTTTGTTTTTTTTATGATATGGAAAGAATAAAATACCTAAGAATTAAAAGCTCAAGTTAAAAAGATTAAATAAAATACTTTTTATTTTATAATTGGTTATTTCCCCAGAATTTCCCCATTGTGAGACAATAAAGGAATTTTCTATTCTGTTTCTATTCTATTGTACATTGCACTTGTGAACAGTCATCAAGACTTTTGACTGAGAGCTACTCATGGTAAGACAAAATGCCCAAAGGGGTACACAGGTCAAAAAAGGTTGGGAACCACTGCCCCAGGGAAAAAAAATGTAAAATTATTTTTAGTTTTAAGAAAATCTGTGTTTTTAAATGTATAGCCACGTGATACCTGAGGGCATTTTAATTTATGCTTTATTTTCATCAGGTTGATCTACCTAGTATGGAATTCTGAATCAGTGGTTTCAGACGTCTTCAACCCACTCTGCAAAATGGGAAAGATGATAAAAAAAAACTAGAGGGATTAAAGAAGATATGTTTTGATCCTTCTAGTCAAGAAACGGCTACAAGGAAACATCTAAAATAGCCCATATCAGCAAGAAAAAGATGGAAACTGCTAAAAGTTTGACAAACAAGGCTGAATAAGGACCAATGTTAATCCTATTCCCAAATATTGAGGAGGTTGGAAAGCTCAGCGTTAGAGAACACGGGCTGGGCACCATTTAAGTGTCAACTAATGTTTAGGTGACAAAGATCACAGCAAGATTGAGCCTTTTCCTGGCAAACAATGCAAGTTGTTCTAGTTTAAACTTATTTGTGCTAGGTATGGTAAATGCTGCATGATACTGTGGACTTCTTTCCACCCCCAAATGGCTCAGGGACCTGTTTAAAGTGCAAAGAATCATCAACTTAATAAATTTTACACAAAAGTTATTGGTCTGTGTCAGTAAACATGGAATATGCTGTAAGTAGGTTTTTAAAAGGAAATATGCAATTTGTTTCATTTGAGATGTTATAAAAAAAGTTTGAAGTTGCATTTTGATCTTGATTTTGACAAAATCTAGTTTACATTCTATTGAAAAGAAATCTTAGAACAAAGGACTCAGATTTCTTACTCCTCGGGTGTTACTGACCTTTTATTACATCAGTCATCCTGACTGAAACAGATCTGAAAATAAGTCTTTTTCAGAACTTTCAAAGCTGTACAAATGGCACACACAAGCATGATTGTTCAGATTGTTCATCACAAATGAATGAGCTGTTAAAGAGTATACAACAGAGAGAAGAAAGGATCAAAACTGAAAAACTCATGAAGAGTCATTAACAAGGTGGATGTTTCAGTTTCCACTGGCAGGTAGTTTGTAGCTTTAAATGGGATGTGGACTCAGCTGTGATAAACGAAAAGGAGAATAAAAGGCAGCAGGACAGAGAAACATGCTGTTTTTGAGCCACTTTCAGGGCTATAGAGAAAACCAACATCTCCTCCTGAAAGGGTCTGCTTTGCCCATGTAACCTGGTGAATATTGGCACTTTTCACTAGTGGTCCAGATGGCACTAACTGGAAGACAAGCCCGTTCCTTTCAAGAATCATCCCCAGATTCCTTGATATCATTATCTGCAGGTAAAAGGCAATAAGACGACATGCATTAGATAAAAAAGAAGTGAAACAAGACTTTAAAAAGTGTCTGAATTTTTTTCATAAACAGCATTGAATGCCACAAAATGATGCTAAACTTGACTCTTCCATGTGCACGAATGCAGAGGATGTTGGAGATGAGCAGGGTTACGTTCCCCTGCAGGTTCCTGCTCCATTAAAGGAACTATAAAGAACAGGGGGGGGATTAACAATCCAAGGAGTGGATTTTTGCATAAGTTATACCAGCTTCCACAAAGGCTCAAGCCACCATGTTAACACAGAGACTGTAAAAAAACCACTAAACATTATGAAGCTACTTCTTTCAATATAAATAAACAAAAACAACACAGACTGAATCATTTCGGTCCCATTAGTGGTATTGGAATATTCCCTGCTTTAAAAAGAACCAAGCCCATCATAAGGAAACTAAGCTACTGCTTGAGCAGGGTTACGTTCCACTGCAGGTGAAAAACCATCAAACGCCTCAAATAAACACAAACTATAGATTTAAAATTTGTTCGCAGAGAATTAGTTTTTTATTAAAGTTGAATAGACAGGTTCAGATATATTAATTAACATAAAATTACCTTATAAATAAATAAGATTATGCTTTAGGCCCCAGAAACCTTCGATTAGTCCTAAAAAAATGTCGTAAAAATGTGTTGACCTAGGCGGTGGGGATGTAGTATGTGTTTTTTTATGTTCAAAAACTCTGTCAGTGTTAAAATGCAGTACGATGTTTGCTTCCACTCTTCATGATTTTAATGTTTTATTAAAACTTTAATCTCTTTTCAAAATGAGAGGAATCTAATTAAATGCCTTTAATCAAAAGTGGATTGTGTCGAATCAACAGAGGGTGAAAATAGAACATTCTTTGACCTGAATCCTCTGATGAATGACATTAAAGCTTCTAAGTCTTCAGTCAACTTTTAGTTAGTTTTTATGTGAAGCTGATTGTTTCTATTTGTAGTATAAAATATATTTTTTTAAATGATTGAAAATAGTTTCTGGTCAGTTGGGTTTTTTTTTTAAAGGCAAACATCAAAACCGGATCAAAGAAGCCAGCATGAAGCTGCTGGAGTGGCTCTAACCTCCAAAGCATTAAACAGTGGCAGGTTATATTCTGCAAACTGGATCCATAAAAATAATAAAAAACAGAAAAATTTCCCAATATAAGATAAGAGGGGAAAAATATCCACTTCCAGCCGAAGGCTACAAAAATCCAATGGTCAGGATCAGACATACAGAGAGCTTTGACCGTATGCTGATAAGAAACCCAAACTGAGTGAATCTAAACAGATTGATCAGAACATAAATTGAAAACCGAGTTCCATCTTTAATCACTTCTTATAACCAAATTATTTAAGATCCATTACAGGACTGGCTGAGCCATAACAGATTAAATCCATTTTTTAGAGTTTAGCAGATTAGAAAGCATGCAGGGCTCCCAAAACGGTGGAAAAACAACCAAAAACACAATTAGTGGAAATAGCAGCTAGGAAGTGGTTTTGTTAACGATGCTTTAATATCACATGAAGAAAGAAGTTGACTACAGTAAAAAGCAGCTTTGCTTTAATATGATTTTCTTCTGCAGAGAATGACTACTATCCCTGCTTGTCATTTTCAACATGGTGGCGAGGACCTCGGATCTGCTGTGTTCAGCTCAGGATGGGAGGTGATGAAGGAGAAGGCGGGAGAGGAGAGAAACAAGAACATGCCTCCTGTTGACATCGACTTTCCCGAAACACAGGCGACACCAGCCGCTCTATTTTATATTCACTGTCTTCCTTATCTGCTGGGCTTGAATGAACCAGAGTGAAGGAAGATAATAAATCAAACACACGCTCCACAGGAACCTGCCGTCCTTCAGGTTAAGCACAGAAACCAGCGGTCCAACCTCAGCACAAGAGGCCGCCTCACTCCACGACGTTTCTGTTGTAGTCGTAGGAGAGTCGTCGCTTTGCAGCAGAGTGCTGATTGGCCGAGGATAGGCCAGGGGACAGATGCCGGCTGCTCGTCCAGGAAGTAGGTCTGCTTTCCTGCAAAGACGGGAACAAGAAGAAATAAGGCGACCAAAAGGGGCGACCGTCATAGCCGTACGGCTTCTTTTCACATTTATAGAAAAAAAAGGAAACAAAAAGTAAAACTAACTTAATAAAAAAAAAAAAAAAAAAAAAAATTAAAAAAAAAAAAAAAAAAAAAAATGATTTCTTTTTTTTTTTTTTA